GAATATGCAAGTATTCTTTTTCCATTTGGGTTATTAACATTTTCTGAGTACTTTAATAACTTCTTAAGATCAGTTTCCACATATAACCCAAAGTCAAAGTCTAATTCAGCATTAAAGAGATTGAGGAGATAGGATATAAAATTAGTTTGTCTAATACTTTTAGTGGAGATATTAATTGTTTAGTCTGAAGTTTGAATAATATAATTAGTAGAGGTTAACTGGACTTGAATATTATTAATGTCTTCAAGAAAGTCTCGATATAATTCAGTCAACTTTTGTTGTAGGTCTTGTAAAAAGGTTGTCATTTTGTCTGGTCTTTTTCTTGAAATAGGGTAGGTATTTATAATTTCTTTTGAACCTTAATAAATAGTAACTTGTGGTACCCAATTAGTACGTTCATGATATGGTCTCAATAATGAACCATTAATTGGTGCTTGTATAACCTTTCCTTCTAAGGTTCTCAATTTATATACTCCTGTATGTGGGTGATCATGGATGTAATACGGCCCTATCCATTTTGGGTTTAATTTTCCTGTGTGACTCGTGTGTTTGGCAGCATCATATCTGAGAACTTTATCTCCTATTTCGTACTCTATGGGATTAATTATTTTTCGGTCATGATATTCCTTTTGTTTTTGTTGCTGTTTCCTTATTTGAATTTGTGTTTTTTCTCTATCTTCAGGTAATTTATCAACCAGGATATACAAACAGGATAAGAGATTTTCCTCAGTATATTCAATTTTTTCTATGGTAAGAAATCGAGTTGTATGACCATAAACAAGATAGAAAGGTTCTATTTTGGTGGTTGCTTGTTTTGCAGTTCTGTATGTGAACAAAACTGAAGGTACATTGATATCCCAATCGGTCAAAATCACTGATGTTTTTACTAGGGATTCACAAAGTGTTCTATTAAATCGTTCAGTCAAACCATTTGTTTCTAGATGATAAGGAGACAAGTACAAATGTTTGATTTCAAATTTTTTCATGAGGTTATCAACAACTTGATTTCGAAAATGAGTTTCTCTATCTGATAATATAGTTCGTGAACAACCATGTTGACAAATAATATCCTCATAAATGAATTTAGCAGTAGTAGCTGCGGTAGCTTCAAAAACAGGTTGGGCTTCAGGCCATTTAGTTAAATAATCAGTTGCAACAATAATGTACTTGTTGCCTCGTGGTATTACAGGTAAGGGTCCTACAAAATCTATTCCTATCTTTTCAAAAGAATTTTCTACAGGTATCAGTTGTAAGGGCTCAGGGTTTCGTATCCGTTTTCTTCATTAACAATTATCACATGCCTTTATATAGTCTCTAATATTCTCGTACATTTGAGGTCAATAGTATAGGTTTCGAACTTTATTGAAAACAATATCAGTTCCTAAATATTTTCCTAGGGGGTGGTTATGTAGTATAAACAATATGGGTTCTACTTCATGTTTTTGAACTACTTTTAATAATTTTTCTCGAGTCTTTTTTCGATGATCTTTCTTGTATAATAAGTTGTTTTTAGTTTCAAAGAATTTGCTTTTTGTTTTCAATTGTTTTTGTTCAGTTATA